TGTGGGTGTGAGTGTGGATGTAGGTGTGGGTGTGAGTGTGGATGTAGGTGTGGGTGTGAGTGTGGATGTAGGTGTGGGTGTGGGTGTGAGGAAAAGAATGATACCCACACTCACACCCTAGTTTTAGGGTGTGGATGTGGGTTTAGGTGAGTGTGGGTTGGGTGTGGGTGAGTGTGGGTTGGGTGTGGGTGTGAGTGTGGATTTAGGTGTGAGTATGCGGATGTGGGTGTGGGTGTGAGGAAAAGAATGATATCCACACCCACACCCTAGTTTTAGGCATAACAAACAAAAACTTCTTTCATAAATAGCTGACGAAGGAACCTCTCCAATTGTCAAATCGCTTTTAAGCTGAAAATCATGGCTGTAAATTATCAACCATGCTGATTCCGAATATCGCCATGCCAGCTGCTGCTAGACCTTGTATGTCCATTTTTCGGGAAGTCCAGCTTAATAGGGCGAAAACCTTTTACACCAAAAACTGTTTTTGGTCTTACCAGATTGTAGAGCGCATCGAGTTGTGTATGGAAACTTTTTTTTTTTCCCTTCCAGAACGATCATAAAGGCTGCCATAGTCGTAATTTTCTCTTATACCTACGACTTTTATGCAAGTTTCTGTGCAAACTTTCTATACAAATCGCAGTACGAACGAGAAAATTACGATTGTGGCAACCTTTATGATCGCTCTGGAACGGAAAAAGTACGTTTTCGTAAACAACTCGATGCGGTCTACAATCTGGTGAGATCAAAAATAGTTTTTGGTGTAAAAAGTTTTCATCCTATTAAGCTGGGTTTCTATAAAACTGGACGCAAAAGGTCTAGTAGCAGTTGACATGGAGATATTAGGAATCAGCATGGTCGATAACTTACAGCCCATGGTTTTCAGCTCAATAGCGATTTGACAGTTGGAGAGACTCCCTCGTCAGATATCGAACGTCATTCTGCCTTCAGTCCATTATAAATGACTAACGTTTATCATTATGAAAATCGATCATCACTATAATTATCAATTCTCTTAATTTTCAGCTTTCAATTGACTAAAATTGTATATAAATATTAGTACAATATTATGATATAAAGTCAATTATTTGATCACTTTGAGAAGTTTTTCGTATTGTTTTCAACAAAAATACCATATAAATTGTCAGAAGATATTTCTAAGGTGAAAATTATAATGAAATCATAGTGCTTTGGAAATGAGATCCGGTGGTACTAAACAGAAAGGATTATGAAAAACATTCCAATGTGAAAACTTAGAGAGTTGGCATATACAACTACCTTCACGAGGCACTTTAAACTAGATCTGCTTTGTAGTGATCAATGCATAAATTAATTTTTATTCTGTCAGATTTGGTTCGGATTTAACAATGGGATTGTTCCTTTTTTTTTTACTGTTATTTCTTGCTTGAACAGAAGACAAAATTCTGTCGAATGTTCGTAATTGGTATGAAAACTATACATGAATCTGTATTTAAAATCTAACTCTATATTTTCTTTTTCTAACTAATGGTAAGAATCATTGAATGATTGATATTGGAAACATCTTTTCGTACATCGGTAATAGATATTTTGGCATTTTTTTCTTTATCTCTGTGCATCAACGAGTTGCTTTCAGTGTTAAAACCTTTACATTAATCAAAATTTTCATATTATCTTCTTTTGAAATGAATTACTTTTTGTACAGCAAAGTAATTTGAACTACCAGATCGGTTGAAAAGTAGTGAAAATCACCAATGAATATATCGAGGAGAAAAAAAATAATAACAGAAATATAAGTCATAAAGAAACAAATTGACTTAAATAATTGATTTAGACAATCTCACACTATTTCAGTAAAAAAACCAGTAATATCGTCATAAACAGTATTCAATTGTCTAATGTGCATATTCACTTGTGCTGGCATACTTCATAAGAAGAGTCAAGTGTCACCAAGATGTAACGAATACTCATTCCAATTGGGTGATGCACTAATCAGTGTTTTACCTAACCCCATCCACAGTTTTCTTTTCCTTTTTCTTGCCGAACAAACAAGACTATAAAATGGTAAGAGCGACAGATTGACTTGATTTTTTTTTGTATAAATAAATCATATATATTTATTTTTTATTTTCTAATTTTATCATAAAATTTCTACTAAGTATAAAATATACAAATAATACAGTTCGTATTTTTTTTTGTTGTTAGATAGTCTACTAGCGAATGCGAATGACTCATTCGTTAACATAATCAATTAAAATGATCATTGTACAGAAAAAATCGTCGTATTTCACAAGATTATTATATCATATTTTTCTCGTTGCCATTTTTTCTTTCCATATTTTCTTAATATCAGTATCTGGCGCCATCGTCATCATACATAAAATTAAACTTGAGAACAAACGAAAAGACAAGAGTACATTCGATGGACATTAGTTACTATTTCCAATGAATTGAAATAAATCTTATTTTCAGATGAAATCGAAAGAAAATCCTTTTATTTGTCGTATTCTACTCATAATAATACTTTATCTTCTACAAGGATATATTCAAGGTTTTATGTCATCGATTCCGTTATATTTGTCTTCGTACAAAGCATCGTGGCAAGAACAAAGTATCTTTAGTTGGGCTTTTTATCCATTTAGTTTTAAAATTCTTTGGGCACCTATACTAGATTCAATTTATTCTTATCGATTTGGTCGTTATGTAACATGGTTAATACCTATTCAAATAATAATTGGTATTATTCTAATAATTATTTCATTCTATTTGGAATCTTTATTGATCAATCTTCGAATTGTTTCATTGACAATTATTTTTTTCTTAATATATTTTCTAATAGCAAGCCAAGACATCGTTGTGGATGGCTGGTCGATCTTATTATTTACTAGTTCGAATCCACAATGGGCATCAACTTGTCAAACTATTGGGCAAGTTATTGGATATTTTCTTGGTTCGACAATATTGATGACATTTGAATCATCCAATTTTATGAATAAATATATTCGTAAACCTCTTTCTTTACCTCAACGTTCATCGGGATTATTCTCTCTTCAACAATTTACTTTCAGTGGTGGTATAGGATTTATCTTTGTTAGTCTTATTATTTCATTAACCTTTTTTTTCAATCAACCATCAAATAAAACAATGAATATCAATAAACAAAAAAAGATGCATACAAAATTAGATTTGTTTGAAACATATTCATCTATATTAAAATTATTTCAAAAACAATGTATGCGTGAATTGGCCTTAATATTAATAACTTTTGATATTGGCTTTGCAGCAACTAATTATATGACTGTTTTAACATTATCAGAGTAAGTTAAATTTACTGTTCTATTGAATTCTAATATGAACATATAGATATGGCATAACGCGTGATACTATTGCTCTTCTAAATATTCCTTCAATTGTAATACATATTCTTGTACCTTTGTGTATGAGTAGAATACGACATCCGTTAATATGGTTTGCTTATGGTTATATTCCACGTTTAATTAGTGCTGTTATTGTAGTTATTTACATATATTTCATACCACAAATTCTTCATACATGGTATTTTTATCCAACTCTGATTCTATTATTCTGTTTGAATCAAACAGTCCTGTACATAATGATAGTATCACGTGTTGGCTTCTCTACACGAATTAGTGAACCACAAATAGCTGGAACATATATGACATTATTAGCAACAATATCTAATTTAGGTCAAAGTTTATTGTCAACATTAGTATTTTATATAGCAAATTGGTTACCGAAAACAGATGCATATTTTATTGAAGTAGGAGGATGTGTTCTACTTGGTTTAATATGGATCAAATTCTTCTGGCATACATTAATGCATTTAGATACATTACCTGTTGAAGAATGGTATCTAAAACCTTCGGCTGATGTCGATATTATAATTGACTACGAGCCTACAACTACAGTCAAATACAATTAAAGCAATGTCACTGTTTGTATTTAAATAAATAAAGATTTGTTTACTCTAACTAATTATCAACATAGTCATTTTTATTTGAGAACATATTACAGGATGTAACAAAATTATAACCCTCCCCCGTCATGCCATAGCCAAAGAATTAATAATTTGTTTTGGAAACGAAACCAATTGTTCAATTATTATATTTGTTGGATAAATGAATATACTACATGTCACATACACACATGTGGCCGTTCTTTTTCTCTTCCCTTATACCGGGTGAACCAAAGGTTTTGCGACATTTTTTTTTTCATTTCGCATATATCTTGGCTTAGATAAATGATAAAATCTTGAATTTTTTTAAAAAGATACTCCTTGAAAAGCTCTACAAGAATGGTAATAGCAAGTCCCGATTGACTTGTGTTAATGGTCTTTTCCATATAAAAAATAGGAAAGCTACATGACAGTGTCATGTCCCACCTCTTTTAGCATGATAAAAAGCAGTTGGAAGGCTTTTTTATTTTTGAATAGGAACTTATTCCTACAGCTGGTGTAGAGTTTTTTATGGCACATCTTTCAAAAAAACAAATTGAAGGTTTTGTCTTGTATCTATATCGGAATTCATGTAAAATAAAAAGTTTTCAAAAGAAAAATTGTATTACGCTTAATAGAGTAAGAAAAACTAATACAATATGTATTCTTTATTTTTACTCCAAGAAATACGATCAGGAAAGCCAAGAGAAATTTTCTATTGGTTTTTGTTGAGCTTTCTCTTGTTAATTATAAGGAAAAATTCAAGATTTTATCATTTATCTAAGCCAAGATATATATAAAATAAAATAAAAAATGTCCCAAAACTTTTGGTTCATCTGGTACTTATCAGGTTGATGTTTAATGCCTATGAAGCAAGAATGACGTTGGTGAATAGCAATATTTCTCTCGCACGCATATGAGAAACAATCATAGCGATGAAGATTGGGTACATGTTTATGAAGAATACGAGCTACATAGATGAAATTCATCGGTTTCAAGAACATTTCAAATGCAGTCGTTGAAGATTCGGGACGAAAATGAGGAATAAATTGATCATTGTATTGATTGTATCTTCATTAACTTTCAAACTAAGATTGCTGAGTTGATGAGAAGGAAGATTAATGGATGATTTTTGAAATTGTTTTGTACAATAGTGCTTCACGGTGAGACAAACAAGATTTGGACATGAGACGAGAATGACACAATAGATATCACACAGAAATATCTCGATTGTTACAAACTTAATGTTAGAGAATGTAGAACACATGATGGTCTTTAAGGATTTCGTTTATCAAAATAAATGTACGACATTGACGCAGAAAAGCAAATTCATTGGAGAGAATATGTTGATGAACTTCAGACAATGAAGGTTTGATGAATTCTGTACGACAAAGAACGAGATGGGCAAGCACTTCAGATTAAATCTGAGGCAATTGAATACCAGATGGACATTGAATTGTTAACGAACGAATATTCGGCAAGCGACTAAGATCAACCTGATAAATACGACCATTGACCACCATCAATCGATTGACACGCGATGCAAAAAATTCGATTACTGGACCATTGGCATCATCAAGCGGCGACAAAGTAAGAGGAAGACGATTGAATGATCGTAAAATGCTATCGACTTGTTGGTTGAGCCCCAAAAAACCTCGGTAGATGTAATGAAATTCAAAATACTCGAACATGTATTTTAGCTTGAATTGCATTCAAGCACCTATCGACACTCTCAGTCATTTCTTGAAGGACTTCTTATTTTTTGTAGAATATCTATCGAGTCTATCGGTGAAAACAATGCAGAGCTAAAGCAAACTGATGAGACCCTTGAGAAAATTCATTCTAACATTCCTCGTTCGAGAAGCAGAAGTATGAAGATAGCTTTGTTTTTGATTCTTTCATTCGAGCTGATCTGATGCGAGTGTCATTTGATGATATTAATTGGATAGGCGAAAAGATAACTATGTGATTGCTCAACATGCTAATATCTATATTTATTTGTCAAAAATAAAAATTGCATTGTTTACCTATACCCATCATTTTTATTATTTGTCTAAAAATAAAAAGATTAGTTTAATGACTTGGTAAACACTTTCATCACAAATAAACAAAATTAAGTTCATCTAAAAGAGTTACGATTAGAGTTGTTCGTTAAATGAATATTTCATTGAAGTCTATTAGAAAATTTTCAAGTATCTTTACTTGTCAACATTCGACGTACCATTCTATTTTATATTCGCAATTGCCGACAATTTTTATCATCTTTTTGAACAAAGCATGTTGATTGTGGAGAAAGAATAAAATTGAAAAAAACAAAATCCATTGTCTAATTTCTTAAGTAATGACATCTCATTTTATAATTCGATCATTTATTTTAATGCTTTTTTGTTTTTAGTGAATTTGATCTTCCTCTTATAAGCTTCATTAACATTCGATTGAAAAGAGAAACGTTTTCACATGACTCAGTATTTATAACCTACTGGTTTTATTTTACTATTCGAATTTTAAAAAATGTAGTATAAAAGATAATCAACTTTTATCATCAACATTGTTCTTTAATTGTTAGAGTCAAAAACGATGTGATCGTTTCAAGTTCAGCGTGATTTTATCATTTTTGTATAAATCAACCAAGTTAATATAGTTTTTGATAAAACTTAAAACTGTGTTAAAGAGATATCACTTCAACGTTCCCAAGATATATTTATAATAATGGAAATTAATTGACTAGTTACTGGTGATGTTGTTTACAAATATTTTGCTTTGTGAATACTTTCCAAAAAAAGAAGTGAGGAATTTTAAACATTATTCGTTGTCGAAATTTTCTCGACTACCAGAATTAATTAAAAATTAGCCAGAATTCATACAGGTAACATCGTGTATAAGCATCATACAATACTTGATGCTTTTGGTTGCAGTACTACATTTGAAGAAAAACGAAATATGAAGCACTATCAAAACCTTGATGGTGAAATAGATAGAAGATTACATAGATGTAAGAGAATAGACCTTCTACTGGACTTCCTTATCAGCTGACGTCATGAAGATTAAATTGTTAACAACATTACCATCATGCCCATGATATTGGTTGAATACGCTATATCTTTTTTATTTCTACTGACGAGAGTATCTTTTTTTGTTCGAAGAATGAGACCAATACGAAAAAAAATAAAACTAATCATGTGCAAACATTGGACATACCTTGCACATTCTCTCTTGTATTCCTTATAGTGTACGAACTTGAATATTTGTGCAAAGAGTTTTACTGATAACATATATAACATCAAGATAAACACATACGACTAGCATGAGATATTTTTCGATTCACCTTTTCAGAGAAACATACATCTCGAATCAAAATGTTAACATATATTCATACTACGTTTTTTCTTATGTTATCATTTATTGTTCAAACTAATGGTTTGAATACCCTATTTATTAGTGTAGGCCTTGCGGGCCATGTAACGCCTTTATTCGAACTAGCAAAAGCTATGCAAACTCACAACGTCACTTTTCTTACTACAATACTGGCTCGATCCTATATTGATTTTGATTCTGTTGCTTCGCCTTCTTTTCGCGTTATTTATTCGAATGATTCATCAGATGCATTTTTGACGGAGAAAAATCAAGAACAAGAACTACTGACCATTGTTGCTAATCGATCAATGCTCGATTGCACACCATTGGTATTACCAAAATTTGCAGAGATGATCTCATCAGTTCTGAATAAAACTATTCAAACGCTCATGAACGAACATTTCGATGTGATTGTGTCCAGTAAAATGATTGTTGGTATACCTATTTTATGTGATAAGGTGAACACACCTTGCGTTATTCATAGCCCTGCTGCATTACCCAATTTATTTGACTTCAATTTGCCCAATATTTTTTCATTGACAACAACAAAAGATTTAACTCGACTTTCATCTCGTCTTTATAATGTTGCATTCACTCTACGTATGGCAGTAAAACTATTACCGAAAGTAGTACCTATTCTGTATCGACTGATACAGTCACTTCCACGAGTACCTGGACCCTTTTATGACAGTTTCACAATAGGAAGTTTACTCTTTTCAAAAACAAAATGCTTACATCTAATTAGCATGCCTATGAGATTTTTTATACCTTCCTATTCAAATCACTATTCGAAATATTTGGGTGCATTCATGGATGAAGCACATATTGATGGTCAAGATACCGATCTCAATCGATGGGTAAAATCAAAGCCGTCAAGATCGATTCTGTATGGAGCTTTCGGTAGTACTTCATTGATTCCTTATGATCGAATGCTCAACTTAATAATTGGACTAGCAGATTTCCTCTTACGAACAAATGATACTTCACTTTTGTTAGCTCTTCGGAGTGCAAATTTCGATACGTATCAAGCAGTCTTAAAAAATTTTCATAACAATGAATTGAAAAATATTTTGCAGGACAAGTATCGAGTGCGTATTGAAGAAGGTTTTATTCAACAGAAATGGATTCTACAACAAGATTCTGTCAAAATCTTCTTGAGTCATTGTGGTATGGGTTCATTATTAGAATCAATTTATCTTGTTAAAACGATAGTGTGTATGCCATTCAATATGGAACAGTTTGCCAATGCAATTACTATAGTAAGTTTAGGCATTGGAAAATCATTATTCACTCCACCTTCGGCTTGGCAATCCTTTATAGATCCATATAATTTTGTTCACTATACATTTAAATCTGAAAGTGTTACAGACAATGTGATGACATTGTGGATGAATGAAACATACGAGAATGCTGCTAAGTTGATGTCATTGGAAATGAAATATGCCGGTGGTACTAAACGTGCTGTTCAAGAAATTGAATTTTTTGTCGAACTAAAAGGTGATCTTGATCGTTTCACACCATTTCAAAATACATTACCATTCTATCAACGAAATATGCTCGATCTCTTATTCATATATATTGTGCTACCGGGAATAATCTTATTATTTATGATATATCGATGTTGCAAAGGTTCAACTAAACAAAAGCGCGATTAATCAATATTTTATGATCGATTGCAATGTTTTTGTTGACTAATATTATTTTAAACAACTGTACAACTTAGATACACTTCATTCATGTACCTTTCATTAGTTTATCTTCTAGAAAAGTCACAAATCAACTAATTGGAAACAATGTGAGTGTGAATAGCGATCATTCTGTACCATTAAATATCTTCCATGTTCTTTTTCTCTTTTTTTATTATTGAATTTGCGCGTGGGATGTGAATACGAATCCAGTTAAGAATTTTTCTTTTATTCACTCACATCCACATCCACACATTCTCAATCCCTTACTACGAAACCTTTCGAGTTCA